GAACGATCAACTGTATTTAAATACCAAAATAAGCTAAGTTGATCATGGATGGTGCCTACTAAACTTCAAATTATCAAACTAAAGAAATGGAAAATGAGTTTTTCTGAAGTGCTGAAAAATTCGCTGACAGGAGAAGAAACTCAAAAGAATAACACCGCTGAGAAAAATAAATACAAACGAAATCAGGATACCAGGTTAATCAGGGTCCTCGGTAAACCGTGGTTTTAATTTACACTGAATGTATGTAAATTAGAAACACCCTGTATACCTTACGAGACATATTTAAATGGTACGAAAGTCGGTGGTTTTTCGAAAAAGACACCATATTTTCGGACCTAAATTTAGGCCACCATCATTATTTTCCCCAAATTATTTTTACGTATTTTCCTTAATTATGAGTTTATCGATTTACTATCAATCAATATCAATAAAGTAAGTTATAAATATGATTCATCAAACAATTAATGAACACTAGTATTCGATCATGAATTGTTTTAAAAATGATTTTGGACACGTTCCAGTAAAAATAAGCAAGCTCTGTCACTACTTTATTGGCCACGGCGGTGAAATTTCGGGATTAGTGCATCTAGTGACCTAGTGGAAGATAACAACACTGTCGGTCCCCTATACCCTCTGGAGGATTATAAGTTAAGTTGAGGCTTTCATTTTTGTAAAATAAGGAGATGAAAAAAATCCCCAAATACCATGATTTAATTTGGGGTACGAAATGTGACGGTTTTCGGTAAAAATTCTCATATTTTCGTTCCACAATCATCTAGGTCACCGGAATTATGTCTCGTAAGGTAATTGGGGTTCCAATACAACGGAGTAAGATAAATCAGGGTGGACTATTTTGGGTCCGGGACTCTAGGGCGTAAGACTCTAGGGCGTGAGACTTTAGGGCGGCGCCCTAACCCTAACCATCACCCTAACCCTAACCCTAGACTATTTTTGTTGTTAATACAAAGTACGGAAATAGAAAGTAGAAATAATCGATGTACAATAAGCAAAGGAAGAGGATAGGTTACAGATCATTGCGATTTCTTCAAAACACAATTGCCAAGTTGTCAAATATCAATCCTAATATTGAGCAGATGATTGCTCTATTATAAGGAGGGACCTCCCAAAGAGGACCGGATATTATTTCACCCGTGAGACCGTGACTGGAGCATTTAAACAGTAACACCAAATGTAGATGATCAAATCTAGTACTTGTTACTGATGAACTATCCAGCAAATAAGCCTTATATTACAGCCTGGACACTTTTATTGGAAGCTCTTGCGCGTTATGTTATGGAGCTACATTTTGACGAATGTCATGATAATGAGCATAAAAAATAGGGCAACGAACGAATATAAGTTAAAACAGTATCATAGTAATACTGCTGTATTCGCATAATCTACGACCATATGAAGTGGGGTTTGTGACGTCATAAGATCTTTAGCTCCAGCAAATTTGACCCATCATTAGTTCTAATTTGCTGCCTGTTGAAAACATTACAGCAGTGTTTATCTATAAATCAACCCGCCAATCAAATTAATGGGATATATATCATGCCCTAATAAGGGCACAAAACAGTATTTTCTGACTAATCAGGAGCTGAAATTATTCTCAAGAACCGTGTCACCCTCTCTGAAGGCAAAACCGGAAGATTTGTAAACACGTCACACGATAAATTTCAAACATAGTCTCATCGTAATCTGGACGAAGAGATGGCTAAATTGTCTAAATACAATACATCTGGCCAGCAAGTCACGGACACCCCACTTCTTCCGCGACTTGCAGTTAGGTTTCATAACATATTATTATTGTAAACACTATAGCCATCTGTGAGATGAAAACTTGAAATTTAGGTAATCCCTCCACAATAGTATAAACTATAATGAAACGTAGAATATATATGTAATTCGTTGGGCTACTAATAACGTTGTATTTTCTAGTAAGGATATTATGGTTTGGTACAGCTGCTGGTGCGCGTTAGTGATATTTTAATTGGTTAATTGATATTTTAATTGGTTAATTGATATTTTAATTGGTTAATTGATTCTCATCAGATTTGTTGTTGGTATTTCGAACTTTGAGTCAGCTATGAGCGGACCTGGTAACTATGGTAACACTGGTAACTATGGTAACACTGGTAACTATGGTAACACTGGTAACTATGGTAACACTGGTAACTATGGTAACACTGGTAACTATGGTAACACTGGTAACTATGGTAACACTGGTAACTATGGTAACACTGGTAACTATGGTAACACTGGTAACTATGGTAACACTGGTAACTATGGTAACACTGGTAACTATGGTAACACTGGTAACTATGGTAACACTTTGGTCGCTGAAATGACGTAATCTTATCTGATGGGTGCAACTCAAGGACTGACTTAAACGATAAAATAACCAACTTACTAACAACCTAGTTGAGAAATATCCTCTTACTTGTAGTAATAGGTTGATGATAAGGGACCACCGCTGGATGTGATACCATCTGTAGTGTGACCAATAGAACCCGATATTACACGGTGCAAATGTAGGGGGCACTTCGTGCGACTGTATTAAAAACACGTACAAACAGATGATGCTGATAAGTAAGTGGTTCAACTTTTAATCGAGGGAATTTCTAGAGGAACCAGCTGATCATCTCGCCTCCGTAATAACCCTCAAGTATACGTGGAGTTAGAGCCCTGAATCACGGCTTAAGTGCGAATTTTAAAGATATACAGGTGTTCAGAATTTATCTATCTACGGATCTATTGATAGAGTTGGAAATAAAACGTAAACTGACAGGTGTACTTAAACTTAAAGCCTTCTTCCCATTTAATTAGTCACAACGCCCACTGTTATATTATAGTCGTCGGGTACAGCCGTATATTGATAAGAAAGTTATAATTACTATATATTATCAACTTATCAATCTTCGTTTAATTGCCCATTATAATATCATTGTATGCAAGGTTATTATTTTTCGGGTTGATGCAAAAAAAGGTCGGTCATTACTTTGTCGCTCTTGGGCCTTGAAAAAAGTGGTATGATGATATTATAATGCTCTTACTATAATAGTCACGTTAACCTACCATTAAATTTACAATACAATAAATTACAAAATACAAAAGTTTTAGAAGGTCTAAATTAATTAAATCTATAAATGTTGTTTAGCTAAAAAACTGGAGCTACCTCCTGAAGCAGAATAATTATAAACTGACAACAGTTCATATCTACATTACCGACATATTTCCTTATCACCAGTACGTACTACGTGCCTTGAACTAACACAGAACTACAAACAAATGGCGGTCCATCCAGGGGGATAAGTCTCCACAGCTCATGATAAGATCACATCAAAACAGAAAATAAGTAGTAGACAGTGGGTATACAGAGTGGTAGATTGTAGGTATGCAGTGACCGTAGGGTTTCGCCTCCAGAGTGGTAGTCACCAGGGTTAACGCTAATTGTCGGGGTTGATAAAGCTGTAAAGAGGAGGGGAAATAACCGAATAACCGTGTCGCCGTGGACAGAAGATAAGGAAGATTACTATTCAGCCCGTAGACTGCATGTAGACTATCCACGGGGAGAACAACAATGAAAGTCTGATAGGTCACATCTTATAAACAGGTTATGGTAGCTAACAGGGAAATTGGGTGTATTGGGTTTTTAGATGTAGACTAAATACGAGCAACAAGGGCAAAAGTTATTTATACACACGTACGTGTAAGAAATTAAAGAAATATTGATAATTATATCCGATGTATGACATCGAATTATATTAATATCACCAATGATATATCAAACCCAAATTCCTAAATTCCAAGAGTGCAGAGTGCACGAAGCGTCAAGTTGCACACAGACATGCTCTCCACTACTACTAAAAGTAGCACACTTGAAGCGCCGCATTGAGCAGTGTGCTTAGTGCGACATTAGTTTCTTTGTTTACTGCACCAGTACAATGAACTAAGGATTATGATGTCGCTCTAAGTGGGGAGGGGTGCTCCTAGTCAAGTAGTTGAAACGAGCCTTGTTAATGTGTTAATCAGACATTGTGAAATAGTTGCGAACAGTGTTAATAGTTAAACGAACGTTTTTCTTCGACGGACCAAAATGTGATCAGCCCAAATTAAGAAATTATAAGCAGAGGACTAATTGTTCAAATGAGCGCTACTCACGAGTTTCAAAGAAATTTGATTTATCGGATATGAAATATGAATAAGCCGCAATTTGATTTGTTGGTTGCATTCTAAGTAAGTAAGTAAGAGCTTAAAAGCGGTTATACTCTTTCGTAAGGGCTGTAATCACCTCCAGATTGCAGGTTTTTTCAACCATGTCGAGGCGGACAAGGTTCAGGAGATCACTTACTCCACAATGGCATCTAATACAATACAAATTCTACTGGTGCACCGGAGAAGTGAAGTGTGAACCCTATATTTTATTCTGACACGTGTTGACAAACGATCAGCTTTCCGCAGCAGCCAATAAGATATTCGAAACACTGTCACGTGTCAAACGAATTTGGATAACCTCCACATCAATGTCCAGATCTATTATATTGGACATTTGAGATAACTAAGAAGTAGGTACAGACTAAGCAACCCCAGTGCCATTGGAATAAACGACAAAATTTGTTGAGATCAGCTGCACATTCCACAATAGATTATTGCAATAGACTCAGTCAATAGAGTCAGTCAACAGACTCAGTTCAATTTATACAGCCTGATTTGAGTTATTATTGAAAACTGTTTCTTTTGTAATCTTAATGACTTTGATTAACAAAAATATGTTGCATTATGGTAGATAACAAATTCATGTCTCTGTGTGTTGAGGACGATTTGACCTTCGGCGGTTTTTGGAATAAAAAAGATAATTTACACGAATCCACTTTTGAGAAAATTTAAAATAAAGTCAGAAATTTTAATAGAAACTTCAGATTTTCTTTCCTTGCTTATGAAACAGTAGATAAAATGACCGTATCGACAATAACCATATCTAAAATGTTATTTTTCAGTGTGATAAGAACACAATTACAAGTGTTACGGTGGTTTCTTGAAGCTATGAGGAGTGATAACTCTACTCTTATGGTTCCTATTACTTCCGCTTGGGCTTACAAGTAAGTAAAGTATGTAAATTGCCAAAATATCCTGTAGTTTCCTTGCAGCGACATAAATTATGAACGATCTTACGATTTTACTCTAATAAGTTGAAGAAGACGTTATCTTTAAGTCGGAAGGCATCATATTTCTATTTCATCACTTTTTTTCAGCTTTCGCATAGTCAAGTATTCCTAAAATTCGGTTCATCGAAAGTTTTCATCAAAGCAATAGCAGTTCATCTATACTTTATTATTTTCTAAAATTACAGTCTTTAGTGGTTGCTACATATATTATATCTACGTCATGACAAGTGTTTACCGCATTCCGTTACCATGGAAGAGGTAATTATATATCACTGAATATATTGTCTGAGATAATCAAATATAATACCCAAGTGCCCCTTAACCATGATTTATCATCGCAGTACCTATGTTTGTAGGCTTCGTGCCAAACCTAGAAGTGTCTAGGTTAGTGATTATTGGTAGGTCGTTCTTATTGTTTAGAATCCGTATGTCTGACCGAAACAAACGGGAACTTTCTAAACTAAGGATTGATCTGGTTTATATCCCCAAACAGCATAACATATTAATATTCAATTTCTCTTATGATGGCCATAAACCTAAATACATTAAAAACGATTTGCATCGAGATATCTAAAAGAATGGACGTTATAATATCGACGAAAACGAGAGTTTCAAAGCCCTCCACAATTTTTCATTGTTGTAAAACTGACAAGCACATACTCAGAACAGTGATCACGTGTTCTCAATTAACCTTATTTTATTTTCACTATTTAAATTATAGGGTAAATGGTATAGAACTTGAAGTATCTGCACAGGAAAAAGATTTGGGGGTTATTACCCATAGCTCCCTGCTTTGGAACGAACAGATCAAAGCATGTATCGCTAAGGCAAATCGTATGATTTGTTGGATTGTAAGGAATTTAGTTATTAGAGAAAAGGTTGTTATGATTGCTATATATAAAGCTTTAATAAGACCTCATCTTGAGTATTGTGTCCAATTGTGGAATCCACCTGCGGCTCATGGAAGTTGGGGGACTGTTTTGGAGCTGGAGAGCGTCCAGAGGCGGTTTACCCGTCTGATTGATGAGGTGGGTACTCTTCCTTACAGCCGTAGACTGGAAATCCTCAATTTGACAACGCTGGCAGAGCGGCGAATACGTGGGGACCTTATTGAAGCTTTTAAGGTTATTAATGGTATGACTGATTATGGTTCAGACATGTTCAGACCAAGCAGATCAGGTCTTAATCTGGTTTCATCCAATAGATGTAGTAAAAGTGTGACAAAGGTCAAGAATATCCAGAAGTCTTTTCTCCCGGAGCGAGTTATTCCATATTGGAACAAACTCCCTCCGGACGTCAAGAACTCTGTGACAGTTTTAGGTTTTAAAATTAAATTAGAAGGATATAAGATAGATATGATTTCTAAAAGTATTACAAATGATTGCTTTTTTTGGAATGTTTCTAATGAAGTTTTAGTAAGAATTGAGGGAGCCAGTTATGTCAGTAATAAAGAGAAACATAACAATTATCTTTGGTTCCATCCTTATGTGGCAAAGAAGCGTTTTATAAATCTTTATTCCACTGGGAAGTTTTTAAAATAGGATAATGTTTTTGATGAAATTGTTTTTAAATATTGTATTTGATAATTAATTAATGTTGGTGGGGAAATATTTATTATATATTTTTTCACACAGTGCGATGATAGTTTGTAGACATGTGTGATGATGTGATGTCATAAATTTTACTTTACTTTACTTTTACTATGTCAGAAGTATTTAAATAATATTTTTACTTCTTCAGTCAACGTTTAAAGAATCACTTGAATCTTGAAAGGTGTTCTCAATTTATTCCATTGGACTGCACACCTCCACTTCTGTTTGATACTCATAACAATTTTCATTGGAGATATTATTATACTTCTTTACACAGACAGCACATGATCCAGAATGGCTCCTGTATAGTTCCCATGGTTACCGTATTAATCAAAGTGATGAATTTGTGACTGGGAGAAAGCGTGCTCTATTTGTCAAGATTTGTTGGCAATAATTGAATCGATAATCGCGATGCTGACGGTAACCAAATAACATATAATGCTTAATGCACTTGTAATTGAATGGGTAATCAGGTTTGTCCCATGTGCGTGATTAAGCCAATTAGACAGAGTTTTGAAAATGTGACTTATGAAGGACGCGAAATTCAAAAGCATGAATTAAGTGAAAACACGGATATCGTCACTCCTTGGATGCGCGCGGCTTCTAGTCTAGTTAGATAAACATATCATGTGTGTTGCGCGGCTCCTTTGTGTACATTGTTTTGGATAAAGTTGAATTGATCCATCTTAAGTTACAAATGAACTTGTTCACATAATCGTGATTAGGTCTAAAAACGTAAGCATTGTATTAGACAAAATAAGGTATTAATTTCGTATAAGGAAATATAAATTCATCATATTAACACGTCTCTCTTGTTCAGGACGAGCGAGTCTAATTCCACTCTCGAGTCAAAGAAGGTCACACAGTCAAGGTGGAAAAGTTTCATCAAATCCAAACATCCCAACTCCAGTGTGAGGCCCAAATCTGCAGCTACAGTCGCCGCTATCTCCACCTCCGGTATTAGATTTCTCTTTCCCTGATTTTAATTTGTTGTAATTTTATCATAAATTAATAAATAATGAGTAATTGAAAAAGATATGGGCAAGAATTATTTCAAACAATATGGATGGAGGTCAAATATTATAAATAAATATTATAAATTACAGGGACCCCAAAACAAGGAGAAGAGTCTACGGAACAGAAGGAAGACCAGATGCCAGCATCTCTCCTTCACACTGTGCACAACACTGGTCAGGACAGGGATGTTAAGAAGAAACCTCTGAAACGACCCTCAACTAGCCCAGGTAATACAGCTTTGTAGCTGTTTAACAGGGCAGGGACAGAAACAGTGAAATCATTGCGTACCTTGGGCCTTAAACCTTATATGACTCATTTGAAATTTGCAGTATTTGATTGACTAACTCGTACTAAATTTCTAAATCAGAGAGTTTATTAGCGGAAGATTCAAAGATTTGGTGCAGTCTTACAGTCGTATTTCAAAATACATTACTTTATGGTATTAGTCTAACAACATTAATTTACAATATTTATCGCCCATATAGCCCGACAACTATGTGGAATAGATAAGAAGTTGTCACTAGGTTACGAAACCAGAGTGTAAGCCCCTGCTGAACCCAAACTAAGTCCTACAGTTACTATTACTATACAATATCACTCCCCTAGGTTGGATTGGTTCGAGTGCGGCAGCAGCAGCAGGCACGCTCTCTCCGACTGATATGCGCTCTAAGTTCTGCACTGTGGCAGAGAACAAAGCTGAGTCCCTGACTCAACAGCTTGCCTCCATGGAGCGGAGCCGGTCAACTGCCTGCAGGAAGAAGTTTACTTCACTTGAACTTACTGGTTCGTAATTATTAATTAGTTCAGAAATAATCCTTTGATACCATGGTATTAATAACAGTTTTATTAATAACCTAATCAAAGATGATTTCTCTTGGAGAATTTCTCTTTAGACTCTTAACTTGCGAACAAATTGAAGCAGCAAACTTTAGGCTAGAAACTTTATTGAATTGAAATAATCATTCCACGTAACAACGTCTTCTTCAGTTCTGTAATAAAATTGTTAAACATGTGTAAAAATTAACGACGGAAAGAAATTTAAAATAACATTAAAACAAAAACAGAGAAATAAAATTTACGAAATATGACCCAAAAAAATGTAATTGCAAAAAATGTCAAAACAACAAAAAATACGACAAGAAGAAATGTAAGCTAATACAACTAAATACTGTACTACTCATGATACTAAACTAATTAGTAAACGTAAAACTGGTTGTTCAGAATTCACAGTTCATGTGTAAAAACTAATGATAAAATCAGCACTTACACATGTTTAACAATTTTATTACAGAACTGAAGAAGACGTTGTTACGTGGAATGATTATTTCAATTCAATAAAGTTTCTAGCCTAAAGTTTGCTGCTTCAATTTGTTCGCAAGTTAAGAGTCTAAAGAGAAATTCTCCAAGAGAAATCAAGTTCAAATGCGACTCATAAATATAGCCCCCTTGAACTACTAATCAAAGATATTGATAATATTATTTATAGCAATGATTGATAAAATCAATGATTTTATTTCCTTTTCGTAGGAGAAGTAAAAATTAAATCTGAGCTTATGTGGTATGGTTGCTACACAATTAGTACAGAAATAATCCTTTGATATTATCATTGATTACAATTATCCTTTAATACAAATTAATAATACTGATAGTGCTAATTTTTGCAGGAGTGATTAACAAAGATCTCCAGGATATGAGAGCCAGCGTTGCTCTGGACACTGAGGACACTGCTAGACGTAAATATTAAATTAATATTAATCATAATAATAACATTTTTATTATCTACTTTTGTAATACCATAATATCTGTCACCCGTTAGATGTCCACTTTTTGCATTGCAGTTGTCAGTCTCCTATGATCTAAATATAGTTATTGAATTTACTCAAAAATCAATGCAACCTTCGAATTTCACTGCCAGTGCTATTCTTATATTCAATATCAAAACAGTAATAAGAAAGTGACTCCTCGCCAGTCAATCCACGCCAGTCAATCTGGTGTTTGGTTCATTCATAGTTTGTCTGGTGTCTGGAATGAACTGTCCTTATAAGGTGGCTACTACATTTTAGTAATAATAAGACAATATTATCTTATTGTTATTTGGTAACTAAGACTAAATTTTCCAGGTAAGATCATGTACAATTTTCATTGGTTTGACGACCTCTTAGCTGATCTACCTTGTGCTAGAGACGATCCCAAATATCTCTCTGCTCTTCAGAAACTTTATGGTACTTTTAAATTTGTTTTGTATTATGATTATATTCATAATCATATTTATAATTACATTAATAATCATATTTATAATTATATTTATATTTATATTTATATTAATTATAATTATATTTATATTTATATTTATACAATCATATAATCATAATATCATAGAACAAATGAGTTCAACTTCAATTTTCATACTATAGCAATTTTAACTAAAGCAATCATCAGGAACTTAGATTAGATCTAAAAATATTCTCTTAATTTTAATCACATAATCATATTTCCTTCATAACATGTACACATTATTTGTACATAGTTTCCTTGCTATATCATTATATTACCTTAAATTTGTGTCTTATGAATTGCACTTAAGTCATTTCAGCGCTGTCGCAGTCACAGCAAGCCCTAAAACGGTACACAAAAGAACGGTACTTCTCGATCATTCTGACTCTGAGAGAGTGGGAATTGCAGCTAGCCGAGGTTGCCAGCGTCTCCAAGGTGGGTATCTCCAACCAATCAGCTCGTCTTAATCTTCACAGTTATATAGACTGGAATCTTCCACGGACAACTAAGTGTGATATTTTTCCTGTCACTGTCACCACTATGTCCACTGTGTGTCACTCCGTCATTTCCTTGTCACAATGTCACTGATTCTGCAGCTAATAAAGAAGTTGAATTTTTGGCAGCTGTCATCCGTCTAATGAGCTATTCTACTTCAGTTTATACGAGAGAGGATTATATTTCTACCGGAGGCGGAGTACAAAGAATGGTACCACCAATGTTATAACCACCGCTGATTGATTGCGGAGTATATGAGCTGATGCTGCAGATAAGATCGCTGGTTTCACTGCTGAAAATGTCCGCTGTTGCTATCTTTTAATCTTCTTTAGCCTCTCAGAGTGGTTCTTTAAGTTTCGCTGGTGCTCTTTTAGCTGGTTTTAATTTCTGTTTATATCTAGGGTAACTTTACTGTTTATGAAAATAGAAAACTGTAGGTACAGTGAATATAACTTGAAGCTTACTGTATATATTCACCACGGCATTTCCTCTTTGAAATATCTCAAACCACTTACATTATAACGATAAAGTGGTAATGTTACCGCTAAAGTGGTTATTCGACCACTAATATTGTAATGTGTACTAAAATACTGTGACCAAAGCCGATCATTAAGCTTTTAAATGAAACTGTCCTGGCACAATCTGCTTTATATTTGAAATATTATTTAATTTTGACGGGTTGCAAGCGTTCAGTTTCAGATAGTTTATTGTTAGATCTTTATTTGAGCATGGTTAAATGTTTTATTTATATTATTTGTCCGTTGTAAATATGTATGTCGACTTTCAGATTATTGTACATTTAACCTGCTGTATATCATTTCTCCGACTTGCTTTAAAGTTTACCGGTCATCAACTCGTAGGTGTTAAAACGTTACAACACACTAACATTAAACTTTTCTCCTCCCACCTCTAGTTGTGCCAAAAGCGTTGGCAACACGTGATTCACAGTCGTTTCACGGTTGTTTCACGGCCCTTCCACACGCGTTTCAGGCTCGTTACCTGGCAACTGGGATTCACGCCAGTGGCGCGTCTTTCACATACCTGAGCCGCAAGGTTTTCAGACTGTCGGTTTAACACACTTTGACTCTTTGTAATGTCAGCAGCCATTCCCACCTGTCAGCAGGTCCCATACCTAGAGCAGTCACGTGACCACAACCTGGCCGCTCACAGGTCCACATTCTTCGTTTATCTCACGTGATTGGTCAAATATAGTATTACGTTAAACTGGAGTATATTATTAGTTTTTAGGGTGTACGACCTTAACTTCGTGGCGATATAACCTGTTTACTTGGCGGTAGATTGTAGGCTCAGAACCTTGAGAAGTACTTCCCAACCGTTGCCTATATCCCGTATCTTCATATCTACAGACTGAGAATGGTGGAGCTTGACAGTCTCTACCACTATGTCTATACCAAGGTTAGTAGTATTATATCTGACACTTTGTTCCAATTTTATGTTTAAGAATTTCGCTTTTCAAGCACTTTGAGACTATAATATTCGGAATTTTTGCGAGATAGATTTTAATTGCCAGATTCCTGCAGATGACGCATAATAAAAGGCATTTTGTTACATGTAGTAGCCGGTTAAATTAAACAGTGGCAGGATTGTTACCCAGCGAAGGGTAGTTTCAAGATTTATAAGACTTCCACCGGCTCATGTTGTACTGATTTGCCCGTGTCTTTCACTTATTAAAGTCGCTATTAATAGCCATTTCCCACAACATGGCTTTGCTGTGTCTAAAATCTGGACCTCTTGTGGGCTTGACAAATCTAATCGATTACCTTAGCATTTACCTGAGCCACGTTTGATTGTTAGACTGCTTACATAGTTATGGACCTGGCGGGACGCTGTGTTGATAAGTCCTTATAATAACATGCTTTGCTTGCAGTACAAAATCAGTAGTCTGTATTAAACGACACACATACACTGTCAGCTGTTTGAGCGACTAACTCTACCTTCATTGAATTGTTCATACAAAGAGACACACTCGGGTGTTTTGTCTCTGTTTTGTCTCTGTTTTGTCTCTCTTTTGTCTCTGTTCTGTCTCTGTTCTGTCTCTGCCTTGCCTCTGTCTCCACCTTTCTTGGACCTTTCTACCATTTTGGCATTTTTCTTCACGGACGTGCCAAGTTTTCTTCGTTGTTCATTGTTCATCTCATTTTCCAATGCATGGCTTTTCTGTTCCCGTCCGTACAACTGACTGATGATTTTTTGGAGCTTCCATTTTTTCGTATATATATACAGAGAAAATATGCATTTATTTGTTCGGGATTTCTTACTTTTTGCCCTCTCACTATTCTGATTATTATATTTATACTTATCTTCGCTTACTTAAAAATCTCAATTAGTTACCTTGATCGTTGATGAATATCGGATATACAAATCGTTAACGTGTCGTTTTTCCTTCGTACACGAAGCACAATCCTCTAAACTTGTAGGGCATCCCCACGGTACACTTGCTAGGCTATGAAATGTTTACTTCTAACAATTACTACGATGCCGTCGATGCCAATCAGTCACGTGGGCACTAATTACAGCTTTATTTAAGCTTAACCTACCGAAAGTCAGTGCCACTGTGGTAACCGTTAGTCCACTAGATGGCATAACTTTACCGACTGTTTTATGTGTGACTATCTGCTCGAAATTGAGGTCACCACAATATTTGTTGCATGTGGAAACCGTGTTATTCGTGTTTTGTGTTGTTTGGTTTGAAATTATATTCTTGTCCAAAAAGTCGCTGTTGCACTCAGGCTTAGATTAATCTTTAAATTGTGTTCATTGTTAGTTGACGGAGCTAGTCGTGCATAGGAGAGCTATTTGGACCTCGAAGGAGTGGATATTAGATTTTGGCGGGCTATAAATATTGTTCTTGCATTTATTTCTTATAACCTGTACTTTATTTCCACAAATTATGCATACATAAACAATATTTAGACAGTATTGGACTGTATGAGACAGTATTAAAACAATTATAAATCTCCAATAGCAGATTTTCAAAATGTACACAATATGAAGTTCAATAATCGGTCTTTACTTAAAAGATTATTACTTTCCCTTCTCAAGAAACAGGTAACCTAAAATATAATCCTGCAGTCTATTGTATCAGTCTATCCTGCTTGTTGTTCATAATTTTTTTCTGACCTTGACAATATAAGAGCTATGCCTTAGCCTATCATTCAGCCTGTAGCAATATATACTGCAATGTCTCATTCTATTGTCTACTCTCATGATGTCTCGTCTTTGTAGTTAATCTGACGAGTCAATACAGTATCTCTGATTTCTGGACATGATCACTATTAATTCGGTTCACGAAGTCAGTTTAGAAAAGTGTGCTGCTCTATCATAGCCCCTGGCCTCCAACATTGCCCCCTATGATATGCCCCTGGCAGAGCCTGAACTCAAATACATCACGTCAATAACTTAAACTACATATCCTCACATTACACCGCACCGCATGAAGTTAAATGTAAAATGTAAGCCATTGGCCGTATTGTAGAACTCTATCAAAATTACTGGGGCGGTACCCTTTCTAATTCTATGTGTTATGTACTTCGTCACATGTTGCTTTGTTTTCTCTTGTTCGATCGTATGTAGTACTCGAGTACCACTCGAGTAGTAATCGAGTACTCGAGTATTACACGTACTTATTGCAGCTCCAAATGTACCATGATATGTATCTTTACTGGATCAGTACTTCCAGTTGAAGCTGAGTTAGAGTATTACTTCCAGTTGAAGCTGAGTTAGAGTATTACTTCCAGTTGAAGCTGAGTGGTGCTTCAAGCTGTACAGTACTCATACTGGTCTACGTGATAGTTGATACGATCTTTAGAGTCGTGGGTCCTGGTCTCGACTATGTCGAAACAGCGACAATTAGTAACATTTATTACAAATTATAGAATTAAACTTGTCAATCTAACCAACTAAAGATCTAATGTCAATGACAAATTTCGAGCTTCATTACTTTTTCAAACGAATAAAGGCAATTAAATCTCACAACTAAATCTCACAATGAGCGTGGTACACGGGTTTACAATGGATCAGAGCTGCGACCAAAAATGTGTTTGAATGGGCTGACAAAGTGACAAGTATGAATTAGGGATGAGTAACAATCGGGACAGCTTGAAGGAGATGGCGCGACATTGCATGATCGGGGTGGCAGTCAGTTACCCCTCCATATCTGAAAATACAACATTTAAGAAATTTACTCCTGAAAAATTAACGTGACTTGCTGAAACCTAATAATAAGCTTACAATGCCTGCAGAGATTACTGTGTTGCGAAACAGTTTGTGAGTTTGTATTTAGTGATTAAATGCAATTTTAGTGGGAGGCCGACTTCCAGGCCCCCTCATTACTAGGGGGCCAGGGAGATCAGATCATGTCACTAATTAGTGACGTATAATTAGTTCCGCGGAATTTCAATTCTATTTATTTTGAACAGATGATAGAACTATCAAGATAGCACTATAACCTTCATGTACGTTGTTGTTGTCACGGACCTGACCGATAACTTGTAATTATATGGGTAACGATGCGACTTCAAATCTCAAATCTGATTTATTAGAGAAAGCTAATTTATGCTCCTGGACTGTATTTAGATATCTGATGCAAATAACTAAATTATAACTCTATTTAACTCAAGTTAATTAAACATAATTGCATCTTATTGGGTTAAGATCTCATGTCACAAAGTAATAGATCTTATTATTTCCTCATAAATTCATAACGTCGTTCCGAGACCACGCAGTAGACATCTTGAATTCCTTTAAATACCTTTAAATGTGATTCGTTGTCACTATTGGATCCAATGTCTCCGTTTCCTTTTCACTTTTCTCCTGACCTCCACACAGACCGAGCATGTTTGCTCCTCATGACCTCATAATTGCGCTATTTTTTACGGCGATAATAAGAAAAGTTAGCGTGGTAGGTTCTTCGTCCTCTCATCGCATAATGTGTGTTCTTTCCATTCGTGAAACTGAAACCATTGACAGCTTTGTATCGTATAAAATCAGTCATCAGATACGTTCGCTCACCATATCCAACACACTCCAATTATTCTCTGGATATTAGAATATTTACCGCTCCTCCCAGTCAAACCAGGTGAGTATAACGTGTCACACTCCATTGGCGACAATGGAGGAAGTGAGAGAGTTAATTCAATTTGTTGTGATTTGTTCTCGAGCAGCTGTTTTAATCGCGTTCCATTTCCGGTTGTGCCTGATCGAGCCAGTAACATTGCAACCAGTCTGCTGCTCAATCTCCGGACAAAATTTCACATTTGTCACCGCGCTGTCGTCAATCTCCGGGGAGTATTCCACTTTTTTATACTGTTATTCAAGTAAAGTCTCCCTCCCTCTCCGTCAAAATATCTACTCATTTCCTACTTCTTACTTAGGGCTAGAGTAGGTGTGAGGCCGAGATCTTGCCAGCCAATTTGATCATCAGTTGCAGATACCATTTTAGCTTGATTATGGCTGATATATAGTGTATGGCTTATATAGTGTATGCATATATTTTTTAATCAATCATCATCTTCAAATCAATTTTTAAACATTTCATTTCTAAACAATAATAATGGCAAATATAAATTTATCTTCATTCGAATTAAATCATATGGTAAAAGATTTAATTGAAATACGAATAGATTACTACGTATGTGATAAGGTTTTAAATTGACTATCAGCATTCAGCCTTAGACGCAAAACCTGCCATAATAGATTGGCAGCGGCAATTGCTGGAAGGGGCCTCATAAAGAGGGCCATAACTGCCGAGAGTTACGAAGTCCTAGCAGTTATTATAATATATTATAATTATATGGTGCAAAGGAGTTAAGCGAGGATGGCGGATGTGGTAATATAGTAATTATACACCATAAAAACATAAAGAGGACTATAGTCCTCTTTATGTTTTTATGGTGTATAATTACTATATTACCACATCCGCCATCCTCGCTTAACTCCTTTGCACCATGAAAAATGGAGATCATTCATTGGCATCAAGACGTCTCATCTAATCTTAAGGTTTCTCAATTCGCACTATGTAGGTAATGGTATCTACATTTGAATAAATTCATTTGGGCAGTGTCGATTTCGAAATGATTTGGAAATAACTCCGCTCCTGGTTCAGCTTGCTCCCAATCCTTACTCATACTATTCAGCGTGATGATTTATTGATGACCAGTTCAAAATAATACGTACCAGTTTGAAATATTTTGAACAATAGAATAATTTCAATCTGTCTCGATCTCCTATAACAATAAGATCACAATACACGACAGATCAGAATTTATTACATATTTTACTTAACCTAATGTCTGTAATTTTAACTTAATACCTTTGTTATTTGTAGCTTACTTTTACGACCTAAATTTTGAAATTTTATATTTTCAAGGATTGCAATTGATCACTCTTGAAAGTCG